ATTGATTGTCCAAGCATTGTCTTGTAACAATTTAAAAAAAAATAAATTAAAGGTGGCCTAAAGTCCAATTGCTTTAAGCCTCTAAAAGGAACACCCTTTTGCGGATTCTGAGGACAGTCTACAAATTCTCATACATGCTGAAAGGCAAGCAGTAGTTTGTATACCTCCTGGTTACAAAAGACTGCTCTATTTGACTGACAGGAAAAAAAAAAAAATAATAAAATAACAGTATTTACCTAGCACCCACAGACTTCTTCCAATGGATCCACAAATAACTAAGAACATTAAACCAATTTTCAGTGAGCTAAATTTCTCCTACTAAGTCTACAGCTACGCTGGAAAAAAAAAAAAAAGACAAAAAAAAAAAAAGGTACTATAAACTAGAGGAAATGCAAGACCAAGAGAAACCCAGTAGTCTTAACTCCCAGTTATTTTAAGGGAAAAGAGGAAGAGGATTTGTTTGCTGGGGTTAATTGACAGCAAGATGTCAAACACTTTCACCTGCATCAGCAGCCAGAAATGAAGGCTAACGGCCAACAGGTATGTGTAGAACAGTGTCATGAAAGCTTTTATCTGAAAGCGCCTCTGAGGGTCAGTGGGACAGGATGGGTTTAATGCTTAGAAATTGTGGGCAAGCGGTGACTCTATTGAGCTGGGTAGCAAGTGCAGTACAAGTTTTCCCATAAGCAGTTCCCAAAGCTCAATGCCATGTTCCATAGGTAACCTTTTGCAGAAAGCAAGGGTGTTGGAGTCAGGCCCGTTCGATGGCAGGGAATTTTGCTCTGGAAATATAATTTAACCAGACCCGACTATATTGGAATTATATTAGTAAGTGAACGATCACCACCAAAAGTGAATGATCATCACCAGAAGATGAAGGAGCGAAACTGGCAGATGTTGACATAGGCACCTGGGAAAAAAGAAGGAACGCTATTCCAGCTCGCCTGTCTGAATCGTACTAGCAAAAGTAATACAAGTAATAGCAATGCCAGTGAATGTTTTTTTGGAAAAAAAAACACCAAAAAAACCAAAAAACAAAACAAAACACCAAATTGTAACCAAGTAAATCCTGTGTTAGCAGTAGAATAGCTCCTTATGACTTGATTGGTAGTAGTGCAGGAAGTTGTATGGTGGGAAGTTTCTCGCTGTGATATCAGTGAAAGTATATAACACTTGAACTGCTTATACCTTTCACCTACAGAGCAAGGGCTGCACAAAAGCTACTCTAGAAGTATATCCAGACCTCAGTAAGGCTTCTGCTCAGAAAAAGTCTATATTCCTACTCAGGATGTGGCCGGAGGGTAATACAAAACTTTCTGTGCACCCAATATCACCCCTGTCCCCTCCCTCCAGGAGGTTCTGCCAGTGAGTGTTACTCTAGGTTACACTGACCAATGCAAGACAATAATTTCTTTAGAGCAATATTTAACATCGATAAGATATTTTTCTTCCAACTACCTACACAACTAATGTTCATCAGAATTCATGAGGATTAGTAACCCTGTCCCGAGTGAATGCTGTTGAATGTACAAAATTTGCTCAATGCTGATCAGGTGATTCTTGCAGTGGGCAGTGATGTGCACTTTGTTCTAAAAGCACCAGATGATTCAAAATCAAGGAAAACATGACAACCCTGCACTGGGAAAAGATAAGAATGAAAGAGGGACAACAATTCCTGCATCTCTCTCTGGTAAATAACGATGCTGAATGAGAGTGTCACTGAAATCAGTTTTAAAACTTTGAGAGAAATTGGACTTTTTGGACCTTCTAGAAAAGTTTTGGGTTTTAAGGTGTGGTGGGTTTTTTTTTGTTGTTGTGTTGTTGTTTTTTTTTTCCTAAAAGAGAATTTTGAAAAATATAAAACTATATGATAAAATAATTAGATTAAGTACATCAGAAAATATCTGTTCTGCAGAGTTCTGCATATCCTTCTGGAAATACCTGGTACATGGGATTACATCAGAAAGAAGGCTGTTATCAGGGCACAATCTGAGCTTTATAGATACTTCCTGAAGTGTTATCTTGTATCACAATCATTGCTTAAATAATTGAAACCTCTACATTCTAATTTGAGCTTTTAGTTTCCATTTTCAGACTACTGATAACCCTGCGCTGCTACTGCGGTATGACCAAAGTAGATATGACCTACTTGCCTGAAACCAAATCATGCTTACTTTTAATCAGAGATGGAAGAGTCTAAGTGAAAGATAAGTGATTCTGCTTCATAACTAAAATATGTCTTTCAGAATGATCCTATTCAGGGGAGCAGAAAAGGGACTAGATCACTGGGCAGGGCATGCAGCCATAATACCTAAACGCTACCGTGTGAACATGGCCAGGGTCTACAAGTTAGAGCTGTTGCTATTGCATTATGCTTGCCACATCTTATATATTGCAATAAATATATATATAATGGCAATAAGTATATATAATGTATATTTAATATCATAAATACTAACTTTAATTACTTATTCACATTAAATATCATATAATGTGTTAAATGTTATATTAAATATATTGCTATTGCCCCTACATCCAAATGGATGGTCCCTGGGAGACTATCTCTTCCTGTACACCATATATTTATTTATAATCAGGAGCTACTCTCGAGACAATGCTGTGGCAGAAAGCAGATCATGAGCATATTTTGTGTAGTTCAGTGGAGAACACATAAGAAATGCCATACTGCCTAAAACTCTGTCTCTGCTCTGCGCTGTCTCTGGCAGCAATGGAATGGTTGCATTGGGGCTATCAGCACTTACGTCTTTCCCAAGTCCTTTCAGTATCCATTTATGGACCTGATGTCCACGAGCTTGTCTATATGACTACGTACACTGACAGGTTAGAAGGTAAATTCAGCTATATTATCCTGACAGATGTCAGTGTAGGGTAGTCCTCAGGGCTGCCAGTGATTCAAACTCCAAGCTTCCACAGAAACTAGTTCCCGTATTACTGTTTTCACAGTCAGGAAGTTTTTCAAACTATGTAAACAACCTTCTTTACTTCACTTTTTGCCCACTATTTCTCCCCGTACCTAACAGAAACATGAGATGTTCTCTCCTTTGTATTTACATCGGATGAGTTCTTATCTCTCAGGTCTCCAAACTTACTAGAGCTTTCTTTGCCAAACCCAACTATTTTTATTCTGCTTCTCTCCTTCCTTCTCTTCTTAGGGATATTGAATGAGTTCCCCTTGTTTTATATCCAGACTTTTTCCATTAATAAAAATACATTGTTTGTACCCAGAGCTATTGTCCTCCTTGTTCATTTTCTCATCTCCATACAAATTATCTGAATTTCTTCCACTTGCACCTTCCACAAGGACCGATTTTAAAGGCCTTGTCCAAGTTACTTACCTGTGTGCTTTTGCCAGTCTACTCACCCCACTTCAATCCTCATTTAAAGCCATCCTGACTAAGGGAAAGTTGGTATACAAGAATGATTTCAGATTTGGACCCTTTAAAGCAGAAACTTTAAAGGATGTCAAGTCCTGTGGTTAGATGAGTTTCTCTATGGCATGTGGCAGAGATACATCAGAGACCACAATTTCTTGCAGTGGCTGCGAGCAGTGGCAGCCTTACAGTGAATAGCCTCTTCCTCAATTTCAAGCAAGATCAGGGCAAAATGAGAACAATATTAAAGATTTAGATTTAGAGGCAGATGAGTGCCACCTAATTTTTAGACACCCATTCTCAAAGTCACCTTAAAGAGAGTAAACTGAAAAATCAACAGCAGCAAAGCATTAGCTCTGCTATAATGAAGGCTATGAACGCACTTCTGCTCAACACTCAGTATTACTGAGTGCTTTACAATTTATTTATGGTGTGGAGTAGTCTGAGATTTGTAGAGAAAAGACTTGCAAACTAGAGGTCATAAATGAAAACTCTTGATCTGGCCATCCCAAGCTCTTGAATACACTATCCAGATATTCACAAGGTTTGCTGTCTCACATGCAGAAGAAATCCTGGCTGAGGGTGGAGATGAGGTGTTTGGTGTTGCAGTTATGTGCACTGGCTGCCCGGGGGCCCAGAGCCTCCATCTCTTGAAACAGCACTGGCTGCTGACATACAAACCCCTCTCCCCCCCACCCTGCTCTTTCCTCCCCTACACATTTCTACTCCCTACAAAACTTGCCTTCAACATACTTCACCATTTTTTCTGCTCGCCTCTATCAACCAGTTAAGATTTCTTTCTCTGGACTTGCAAGCAGTCACTCTTTTCAGTGCACGAGCACTTTACCATAAGACAGGGTAGGGAAATAGGGAGCACATGGGTATCACATGGTTTTTGTTACTTTGACTTAGCCGGAGAAATAAAGCACTACAAGAAATGTGAATCTTTAATAAAAGATCAGGACATTCAATACCAAGAGCCAGAGTTAAGGTGACATCCCATAGCTTGAACACAGAGTTTAACAAAACATAACAAAAATTTAAAAATGGAGATAAGGTATATTTGCACTAAATGTAATTCTTTTCAATATTACAATTATAAAAAACTCTACCAAAGAAAAGCCTTTACTTCTGTGTTAACAAGAACTGTGAAGTAAACAATAATCTGAGGCAAATCTAAAAGTACTAGAGAAGGTCTGTGAAAAGGACAACACAGGAAAATGTGCTATGTATATTTTAAGTATTTCTTTATAAACTATTAAATTTCTAACTTGACTGAAATATAGAAAAAAGGGGAAAAATCTTACCAGAGTGAGAAAGTGCATTTTACCTAAAAATGAAAGAACCAATAGTCTTGGTGTTATCTGCTTTTACTGTCCCATATAGAGATCAGATCTGCTGCAAGTAGACAAGGGAAGTCTTGAGTAATGAGAGAGAAAAGAAACTGTAATTAGTGTTATGGGGAGTATATAGCAGACCCTACCACCATGATTTTTGTTATGGTTTCCTTCTCTTCCAGGATTTAATGACACCAATTGTCTAATTGAAATTCAAGTTAAAAGACACTCCCAGTATAAAATTAATGTTGGGAACTATTTGATTATACACTGTCCAGTTCAATACTGCAAGAAAAAGCCAGTCATGCAGTGGTGCAAGATGGAGGTGGATACATGTGTGCAGCTGAAGGAGGGCAAAGCAGAATGGACGTCCAACATGTTTACTCTGGAGTTTTACCCAGTTCATCAGAATGATAGCGGATGTTATCGCTGTCAAGCAACAGAGGACAAGCTTTCCATTGTGAGCCATGGAATAGAGGTTATTGTTGAAGGTGAGACCTCTATATTATGAAAGAACCCTTTTAAACAAAAGGATGTCATGTACAGAATAGCTCATGTGTGCTGGATGATTGCTTCTCCTAATGTCTGTCTGGTAGCACAGTTGCGCTGGTACTTACCACCTTCATGCTTCTATCCTGCCTCTTGGTAGGACAGAAACAAAAGGAAAGAACAAAATAAATAAATAATAGGAGGATCTGAAAGAGAAAAGCAAAGCTGCCAGCACCAAACAGCCATTAGTGGATTATTTGGTAATAAAAAATATCAATTGGAACAAAAAAAGGTTGTGGGAGGACAGCCTGATTATACATCACATGGACTAGACAGGAAGCAAATGGTCGTGTAGTAATAGTTGATGAGGCCACAAAACAGTAAAGAGGACAAAGCAATTCAAGCGTCTTGTTGAGAATGATCTCTCTTGCAACAAATAGAGAGAAAGTATAATTTTGTACCTTAAAAATTTCAAGAGCAGGAAAGATTACAAAAGCTTTAATTGATCTTAAGGGCAAGTGAGACCTTCAAATTAACTTGGGCAGTTGGCGAGCCAAGTCTAGATTATGACGAGCCACATCTGCCCTCCTTAATGTTGCTCTGCAGCTAGAAAGTGACCTGTGTCGCTATAGTATCCTACTGACCCCAGGCAGCTGAGTTGTAAGATTGTTCTGTTGCCAGTTCCTGTCCTGGTAAGTTACTGAACTTTAAAACATTACTTATTGCCACACAAAATGCTGCAACAGAAGGAGCAACATCAAAATTTATGGCTGTAATTCGCTAGCAGACGCGGCATATGCCCAGCTCGTGATGTAAGTTTCCTTTGAAATGTGTTCTGCTGATCTATTTATTTGAATGCCAAAGAGGTCTGAAAGATAGAATTACTCTGTTGGCAGCGGGAGACCAGGCACGTCATTTCCCCTCCCCCCAAAACACACTACCCTTTGCTCGTTGCATTTGCATCCCTCTTCCATCAGCAGATGGAAGGGGAGCCTTGTGAAGACTTCAGTATGCAGTGTAGAGAACACAACTGCAGTGCAAAATGTCAGGTTGTTGTTTCATTTCCCTGTTTTGCTTTTCTCTTTCAGAAGAGTCTGCAAACATTATCACAGTTTCACCAGAAAGTAAGTTCTGATTCTTATTTCCTCTTTAAGAGAAAGGAACGAATCTGTATCGCTATGAATTTCTGGTTAGAGCGTTTTATGCAGTCAAGACAAATTGGAACTGGTTGCTAAACTACAATTGCTTTCTTCCCACTTGAACAAAATGCAGACTCTCGAAGGCCACAGTTTCCAAGGCTAGAACTGTCCAGCATTCAACATAAAAGAGACAAAGCCAGTCAAATTATCTCCTGATGGTATACTCTGCACTTCTGGCGTGCCCAGTGATACAAGGCTTATACTTTCAAAGTGTTAGGAAACATGCTATGCCATCACTTCAACATAGCCTGAAGTATGGTTTTTACTCACAGGTGGTTATTGTTCACAATCACAGTTGCAAAAATATATTGGAAGTTCAGAGCAGTGCTCTAATTCTGACCCTTTCTTTGCTTCTGCCAGCCTTCTGCCATGCGTCATTCATCGATTACACTTTCCCATGCACTTTTCCTTCCAGTATCTTCATACTTCGTAGAATGCCCATGGAGATAAGGTTATCTCATGACATGCTGTACCAAAGTTACAGAATGTTTAAGTACATTAAGAAGCCAGTTGCATCAGAAAGACCTAATACTAAAAAAACCCAAATAAAACAGTCAACTATTTCTCTATGCTGACACATGGTAATGCAATTTTAGATACCACTAGAATCTCAGAAGAGTCCCAAGAATTTGGAAACTACAAGATATTGCACATTATTTATGCTTCAGCATCCGTGGGTCTATGTTGTCCATTCATCATTGTATGCGTGTTTTGGTGTCTAAGGAGGTACCATGGTAAGTAGTTTTACCATCAAACTTTGCCTAGTGTGCATTTGATTCCACTGCTTTTCACAGCTTCACAAAAGTTGCATTCAAGCTCTATGAAAGTCCCCTAATAATTTACCCCAACTGATTTTTGAGATGTCCTTGTTGAGTGCACCAGTTAGGATATTGAATCTTTAAGAATTTAATTTGGCCCCTGTATTATTCCCTTCTGGAGACAGAGGGACAGAAGTAAAGTAAGAACAAATAAAAACCTCAGACTTTATAATAGTTGGAAATTTTTCTCCTGTTTTGCAAATAATCAATTTAGAAATAAATAGGAGTTTTAGCCATGCAAATGCAGTCAAGCTCTATCCAGTTACATTTTATATTCGTAGTTTGCCCTCTAAATTATCAAATAATTACAGTATTAATCTCTCCTGCTTTGCAGGAACTCTTACACAGATGCCATGTCCTAAATAAAGAACGCAACGCAGAGTCCCCCATATCTTAAGTGATCTCACATTTGCCTATTGTAATCCCATGTTTGTTTGGGTCTTTTTTTTTAGTTTTAGGGAAATTAAATTATTTATTCTCCCAATCAAATTTAACATGTTAGCTCATAGAATGGCTTTAGGATTTTCCGTGCCTTTTTCTCCCCACCCAGTTCACTGAACACAGAGAAAACTGGCCACAAGTACACTAGGAATTTTTCTGCTCCTATCCAGAGGAGCTCTGTGGAACACAGAAACTCATTCTATAAATACATTGTTCTGTGTTGGTTAGCTTTTGTCAGAATAGCTGTTCCCAAATCCAGTTTAGAAATAGATTTTTATTCTTTGAGGTCCACTCAACAAGGCAAGGACTCCTATAGTAGTTAATACTCCCTCCATAGGCAGAAAGGCACCTTCTCAATGCTGATTTATTGAAACATCTTTTTTTTTTCTTTTACCTAGCAAATCGAAAGACAACTCCAGTAACCCAACAGAGACAAAAAAGCCTGGTATGTTTAAATTTTTCCACCACCAAAATCTGACCACATCCTGCATAACCACATACTGAGAACAAATCTGTGTAGTACAAAACGTAGCATAGAATCAGAGACAGATTTAGTGACCGTCTTGGTGCTTGGACAGCGTGGCTTGCCTGGTGTGAGATAACACCATGGCTGAGCTAAGGGAAGGAACTAAGGGTTCCATCCGCAAAGGTACTTTAGGCATCTAAATTCCTCTTAAAATGTATTCATTTGTAAGAACCATTCCAGTAAGAGTTTAGACACCTAAAACACCTCTGTTGATCTGGTTCAGATTGTCTGCGTAAGACAGAAAATGACCCACAGAGCAAGGCAAATGACTGAAAAGAAAGACTTTCATATGTGGCTAGCATGAATTCACACAGGTTTGGCAAGCAGTTCTAGAGAAATTAGATGGGCGGAAGGCAGAATGCAAAACATGCGATCGGAGCTGACAGCAATCAGTCACAGAAGTAGTGTTGGTGAGGATCAGAGGGCACCAAACAGGTTGCAGAGCTCCCAAAGGACAAGTTGGAGGAAAGAAAATTAAATGCAGTATATTCTAAGTGGATAAAAAATGGATGGCAAAAGAGGACTTCATTAGAAGAGAGAGGAATTTACGGAGAAATTTGCAGATTTTGAAGGAGAAAGATTTATCTGGAAGATAATAAGGCAAAGAGGATAAGAAACGAGATCAGGAAACGGGGCAATGAAGGGAAGGCAGTCTGGGATTTGGAGGTGAAAATAAGAAAGATTATATAAACTGAGAAGGGAAAGCCTTGAATGTGTGGCATAGAAGAGCTCTCACGAAATGATAAATCAGTTTTGCCTTAAGTTGGCATCTTACAAGAAAAAATGAGGGTTTGGGAAGGGAAATGGAGAAAGGCAGGAGATACAAGAATGATTTCTAACTTCATTTCGAGAATCAATATAAAATGCAGTGAGCAGGTGAATCCAATTCACCAGCGATTAAAAGTAGTTTTAAGGGGATAAAGCAACTTGAACAAAATCTTACATGCCTCTTATTTATCAGGAGCACAGGCAACAACCAGATATGCATAGAGCTGTACCCTGTTCTGTTTTCTGCAGGTCAGAAGTCCAGCAGCCACTTCATCCCACACTGTTGGGACAACTCAAGATTCAGAAGAAAGCTCCTCACTTTACTATTGTTCCATGGCTAGCCCACTGCAGGCCTTGCATGGCAACACAATTTATGCCAATGATGTGCCGCCCTGGAATGCTCAGAGGACAGCACCTAATGCACCTTGCAATGATCCTGTTATTCCTTCCAACCCAGTTTCACCTGAAAGCTCAGATGTCCTCACATACGCTACGCTAAATCATTCTGCTTCTGCAGAAAGATGCCAGAGAAGGGAACTAACTGTAGAAAATGAATTTACAGAATATGCCTCCATTAATGTAAATAAATAAATGTGGCAAGGACTTCTCCAGACAACCGTTTTGCCTCCAGTCCCAGTTCTAGCTTCCCTCCAAGTTGTTGTTCCTCTCTCTTCTGGGAAATCTTTCCTGTTGTTAAGAAGAACCTATGGATGCTCCTGTGTAATGCCAGAACTCAAAACACAGCCTGTGTCGATGGGTGGGTATTTGCACTGTGCGTTTCTGTCTTAAATGGGGAAATAAAAGCAAACAGCTGAACAGAAATTTAGTTCTGTTTTATTTCAAACCAGGACATCTTTTTTTTTTTCAGAATTCTGCTTCTAGGCTGACTTTGATTTGGTTACGGTTTGAATATAGATAAAGGGGAGAAGGGGAATGTTCTACTAGGGTAGAAACATGTAAAATGAATCTGTGAGGAAGATGATACTGAGTCAAGTTAATCTCTCACAAGTAAAAGCTAAGAATATTTGTGGGAGAATTTTTCTCTAAGTTTCTAAGAACATCCTTCCAAGGATTCAGTTTTTTATTCCAGTTTACTTTATCTCCTTTCAAAGTTCTTTGAGCACCATGAACGCCTATGGCTATTATTAACCAAAATCAAGTGAATACTTGTGTGTGTGTGGTTGTTTTTTGTGGAAGACAGGGAAGGAGATGGTTGTTTTCCTTTTACAAATAATTCTCACAAATGATGTGTAAGAAAATATTAAAATATAGCATATTCTGCTTTTCTAAGTTGGCTAAGTTATTGCACATTGCTTTTGTCCATGACCAATCAGTGGAAATAACAAATGAACAGCAGTGACTGAGCCCAGTCAAAATAAAAAATTTTTGTTCACGAATAACTGTGTATAACTGTGTCATGCTAAGCTTTCCTCCCAACAATGACACAAAAAAGTGATTATGCTTCATGTTCAGGTTTACAGGAAAGAAGATAAAAGGAGATAAAGACCAAGGTGCCATTTGAAGTTTAACAAGAATGCTCACACCCTTCTTCTGCACCACATATTCAGCTCTATCTTGGATACCATGCATCTGCTTTTGCAAAATAATGCTCTTAAAAATTACTCTTAGCAATATTTGCACCAGAGGTTTACAGCAGCAAACAGAGAGGCTTTAACTTGGTTAAAAAACGGCACCATAGTTGAAAAGGAAGGATGTTCCAGGTCTTAGGCTGCACGTAACACACTGGATGATTTGCACTCAAGTTAGTGGAAGAAACTAAGGCTCTATTATCTTCATATTTCATCTTGGTATCATTCCAGCTAACACCAAAGCTGTTAAGCACATACACATTCACCCTGCCATTTTGGTAAGTGAGGTGGTTTATTATGCTTGTGCTTCCCTTCCCCCCTACCTTTGAACTCAGTCACAGTATCTATGTGGATAAAAATCCATGGTAATTGTTTCTGCCCTAAGTTGTTAGTTCAGGCCATTAGATATGTTGATTATTTTCTTTTAAATATATAAATTACCAATCCAGTAAATCATTGATAATCCTCATTAAAAAAAGTAGTAGAAAACTGTCTTCTAGAAAAAATCAGTTTGCTCTTTTTGTTTTAGTGAGTCAGTCCTTGTATGGCTAAAGACTAATTATTTTAGCTGAAGGACTGGGAAACTTGGAGCAAGTTAGGTATAAGTAGGCCCAGAGATAGACCTTTAAGTGTGTTTATTGCTCAGCTGATAAAGGTACAATTGTTTTCATGAACTACAAGTAGCTTTCAGAATAAGGAAAAAATGTTTCTCTGAAATAGAATCTACCTCAGTGTGGGAACATACTTAAGAGACAATGGACATATATTGAACCAGCCATGCGAGGAAGCAGACTGGCTTTAGGCCCTCGCCCTGGAAGTCACCTTGAGGAGAGAAAAACAGGAGCGACAGTGGCTGTTTCATATGAGTCGAGAAAACAGGCCTTACCTTGAGGAGAGAAAAACAAAAGCGACAGCGACTGTTTCACACGGATTGAGAAAAACAAGTTTGGAGGAGTCGGACAAGCAGGTGGGAAAAACAGAGATTAGAACGAACCAATCTGAGTCACATGGTCGCCTTGTGCACAGGACTATTAACCAATCAGCTAATGCGTGAACATGAGTAGGGATAGAAAAATTGTATATAAGGGGCAGTAGAATATGAATAAAATGGCTTCTATATGATTCACGTTGGATCATGTGAAGTCCAGTTTCTTTCCTCAGAGGATGACCCGACGTGATTTGGACCTGCGCACCAAAAAGAAGAAGAGCGGGGAAGAGCCCAGAAGGAGAGGCCGGCTAGAGTACGGCCCAGCAGGACTGGAGACCAGGGTGGTCAGAGCACAATCCGCAGAAGAAAAGTACGTTGTGACGGACACCCAGTGAGGTGAGCAGCCGGGAAAGGAGATGTGTCAGAGTGTAACAAAAGAAGAAGATGCAATAGTAAAGCTTCTCCTTCATATACCTCAGTGGTCTGAAACTGAAAAATAAAGACAGCCATTCAGTGGAGAGCCTAAATGAATTTGAACAAAAGGCATGCAACTTCTCTAATTGCTTTCCATGACTTGGATACAGGCCTTGCAGGCAGAGGGGAAAGAACAAAAAGGCCATCCTTCTAGAGAACAGGTAGATGGGAAACAATATGGTTCTCAAAGATGCTTTGCAATACTCTGCCCATACCGTAGTACACATAGGGAAGAGTCCAAAGACCCTCAGGAAGGCAAGGAGGGGTTCTGGGGACAGGCAGGTTACCTGTTTGAGTTTCCAACCAGCTCTGCACTGCATTCATCTGGGTACATACAGCTTTCCCTCTGCCACCCCAGCCAGCTGAAAGCACCAGCAGGTCTGTTCAGAGCAGCCCCAGAATGACGACTGGCAACTGGGACCAAGAACAAGACCAAATGCACATGGAAGAAGGATTGCACCATCAAGACATGCAAAGACTAATGAAATCTTAATGTAGTTTAGTTCACCCGTATGGCAAGGCTGAACCTTGGCTTAATGAGATCCCCAGAGAACCAAGTTTGATTTAGAAGATGAAATTTTTGAAGATAAACAGGAAGTACCTCACCACCTTACCATCAAAAACGCTAGCATAGAAAAGCGAAGCACAGGAGACTGCAGTAGGTTCATTGGGTTTTTCTAAGCAAACAAATAGAAAGACTGTGCCTTTTGAAGCAGGGAAACAAAAGGCGCTGACTGAAACAGTCTGCCTTTTAAGGTGCAGATAATCCATTGACATAAAGTACAGCATTGCTCAGTTTTCACGGCCTTTTGAAAGAAAAGAAAAAAGTTGTTATTTTCACCACCAGTTGGCTGTAAAACTGGCCAGTGAACAGGACTACATTATGTCACTTAAGGTGCTACGTACCTGTCTCAATCATCTAGTGCACCTCTCAATTACATAATGTCACACTTGAGACATCACACCCAACAACGGTTGTGTTAAGGCTCGGTGGATGGCCTCCAGATTTTACAGAGCAGCATCCTACCGGAGGGGCAGGACACCAGTGGGAACAGAGCAATCTCATGATTCACCCTGTGCGCTCAGCGCATAACTGAGAGGAACCAGTACTGGGTTGAACTATGCAGTGAAACCACACAATCACGATAGTGCACTAAAGGAAACAAATAGGTTTGGGACCCATTCTGTGGAAAATGTATAACACTTGTGCAGCTACCCTAAGGTGTAGTCCGAGGACCATTTATATTACATATTTTTCTACTTCTTGTCTTTCCTTTGCTATTTTTGCACCAAATGTGCTGTACAGGTATAGTCACACAGGAAACCCAAAGAACAGAAACAAAGCTGTACAGCTCTTAGTTACACCCACAAAGCCACATGGAAGGAAAATAGTGAAGTCTGTGGAGCTGAAGGTCTGTTAATGCCAACAAAGCATGTTATTGCTCTTCATTGCAGTCTCTTCTTGCAAGGGAGGGACATGTAACTGGTTGCTCCCTCCCGAGCAACCCACACAGCAGACAAGCCTCTTACAAGATTATAGGGGATGAGTGGGCACTTAGATAGTAAAACGCATCAACCACCCTAGTTTCACTTTATCCAGGTATTCTGCCCGCCCCCCTCCTCCCCAATTGTGCTTCCTTATAAAGACATAAAAATATTAGAATAGCATGAGGTTTATTCATTTGCCAGTTCTTGAGCCCCAAATGTCTATCAGACAGGATACTGCTGCTGGCAAACCACAAACTTTTTCGTACTGCTAGATCAAGCATCAGCTTGCCGAGCCTTGCTTTTCCACCTACCTGTTTCGCAATACTTTCCCCCACATCTCGACAGTAGCCTGAGATCCATTTTAGCTCAAGGCTCACAGGCAGCAAGGAGAGCAAAGAAGGGAGTGCTACAGCTAAAAGTACGTGAGAAGTGGAGCTTGCACATCCAAGAAAAAGGCATCACCTTACGTTGCTAGGTTTCATGCTGCTTTCCCCCTAAGAGAGTGGCCAGGGCTATAAATTGTAGGAGTGCCCCCAAAACACAAAGAAATAGGGTGTACAGACAATGTTTGTTCCTCGGTTCGCCTGAGCTGCTCCACCTAGGTCCTGCTGTACCTGCGTTACCTGCACCGTTCAGGCAGTGGACTCAGGAAGAGAAAGGGGCAGCACAGACAGATGGAAACACAGGATGGTTCGGGACTCAGCAGCCAAGCTCCACACCAAAGCCTTGCTCCCTGCACCCCAGCCATTCCCCGTGCTGCCAGCTCAGATCTTTCCAAACTCCAGGTGAGTGGTACCATTCCCTGTGTCTCCCTGCATCCCATGCCCTCACCGAGGGACAGAGGACACAAGCCCAGAGCTGAGCACTGGGATCAGACCACAGCACCAGCCTGGGTGCACAGGCAGGTTGAAGGAAGAAGCAAACATCCATGTCCCTCACTGGGCTGTTCGCTGTCCTGCTCCTTGCACGGGGTTCCTCATCCTGCGGTCTCCACGTTTCTGCTTCCCTACCCCATTTTGTATCAACAAACATCAGCCCAGGCAAATGGGAACCAGAGACACGAACAGACCCGTGGACGGTGGCCAGGGAAGAGAAAGGAGCAGATTTCAAGG